GCAGGAGCTGCTGCCGGCCCCCCCACCGATGAGCTGCACCTCCATTCTATGCCCCTGCCCCTCCTGGGCAGCACCTGCCCCCTCCCTCCTTCACCACAGGGGGAACGTTGCCTTCTCATGCCCCTTCCATTTCCTCCTCCTCTTCCACCACACCAGACTTACCAGCTGGAGGCAACTAGATCGGATTGGTGTCGGCTGATATGCCGCCTTAAATATCAGCTATTGGTATCAGCTCCCAAAATGTCTGTGGGTGCACCTCTATTTCTTATACTTTTTGATGACTGCAATAGTTGAGAAAGATTTAGACAAACTTTTGGGCAAAGGTATTTTATGCTCAAAGCTTATCTAAAATTTCTTCTAACCAATAAAATGTCTCTGGGTATGTCTACACATGCATTTACTCCAGCCTAGATTTACTGTGCAGCAGGGGCAAAGCATAGGGTTGCATGCAGCTGCACATGAACCCTCTACAAAAAGGTGCCCGTGGGCGGTCGCCGCTCATCACCCTGCCGCACCCCCCTCCGGGCGTTTCGGGGGGCGTCCCGCCCCAGCCACTAGCTGCTGGCAGCTCCTGTGGGTGTGTGTGCCCCCTGGCCAGCACTTGCCACCTTCTCCTCCCTCCCTTTTCTTCCCCCCCCCGCTGCTGACAGTGCCAGTGGTGTCTGCAGGAGCTCTGTGGTTACCGCCACCGTGCTCCCGCCAGCACAGCCATGCCCCTTCAGCCACTGGGGGCATGTGTTGTTCATGCTGTGCAGTAAGCTACTGCACAGTTAGTCTTTGGGTAGGTGTCTACACATGTGGAGATTAGGGAGAAGATTTGCTCCCAGTTCCCTACAACCCTGCACTGTGCCCCTGTGGCCATCAGGGGGAACTCCACACTCCCCCTGGGTGCTAGCCAAGAGGCTGGCAGGGAGCACTGGGCCAGGAAACAGATGTCTCCTAGCCTGTGGGGGGCAGCTGCCTGCTGCTGGGGCTGGGACAGTGTGCCCCTGCTCTGGCAGCATGGAGCTCCTGACCTTGGCTCCCTGATCAGCAGGGATCTGGGTTTTCCTTTTCCCACAGAAAGAACAGAGAAAACCATGGATTTCCCCTTTTTATCAGAGAGAACATGGATTCCTCCTTGTAGCAGAGAAACCCGTGGATTCCCTACTTTTGCAAACAGCTCTGGAGGCTGGTTGAGCTCCAGCCTGCAAGAACTGTTTGCAAACAGGCGGGAAACCCCCAGCCCTGGCCAGAGGGGAAGGGCGGGGCCTGAGGCTCTAAGTCAGACATGGCTCCGCTGGGCTTAACTCAGTCTCATTCTTTGCTCCTGGAGGCTGTGAGGTAAGTGGGGCTTGCAGGGAGGCTGGGGGGGCCCCTCTGGCAGGGCTGGGGTTTTACGTGTCATGGCTGGGGGCACCGGCAGGGCTGGGGGGAGCCAGGAGCTGGCCCTGCCCCCTCCTGAGCAGGCAGAGCTGTGAGGC